GTCCTCGCCCGGCCAAGGCCGTCCCCCCCCGCCCGCTCCGCCCACCAAGGCCGCCCCCCCGCTGCCGGGATCGGTGCCCCGCCTAATCGTTGGATTGGAGGAGAGGAGGAGCAGGGCAGTAGAGGAGAGAAGGGAGGTGGAGGAGAGAAGGGAGAAGGAAGAAGGAGAAGGGAGGAGAAGGAGAAGGGAGAAGGAAGAAGGAGAAGGGAGGAGGAGGAGCCTCGGCCGCCGCCACGTCCCTCGCCGCCTCATCATCACCGCCTCCGGACGCCCATCACCGCCGACCCCTACGTACGTCGATTTGTGTTTATATGTGATATATGCAGAGGAACGCCTCGTTGTGTTGTATGCGGAGCAACGCTGTCGTTGTGTTGTATGCGGAGCAACGCCGCTTCGTTATGTTGTATGCGGAGCAACGCCGCCTCGTTGTGTTGTATGCGGAGCAACGCCGCCTCGTTGTGTTGTATGCAGAGCAACGCCGCCTCGTTGTGTTGTATGCGGAGCAACGTCGCCCTGTTGTTGTATATGCGGAGCAACGCCGCCCCGTTGTTGTATACCCTAGCGAGAACGACGATTTGCCCTAGCGAGAATGACGAATTCGCCCTAGCGAGAACGACGAATTCGCTCTAGCGAATTGTCGTTCTCGCTAGGGCGAATTCGTCGTTCTCGCTAGGGCGAATTCGTCGTTTATATGACTTGTTTACATATATGACTTGTTTATATATATGACTTGTTTACATATATGACTTGTTTACATATATGACTTGTTGACATATATGATTGTTTACATATATGAATTGTTTATATATATGACTTGTTTATATGACTTGATTATATATGTGACTTAGATTTATTTTGTTTATGACTTATTATACATATATGACTTGTTGACATATATGACTTGTTTATATATATATGTGACTTAGATAAATTTGTATATGACTTATTGTATATATATGACTTATTTATATATGTGACTTAAATTTTGTTAAATTTGTTAGATATGGCTGCCCCGGGAGACAACATGGAGGAAGAAATGATGAATATTATTGCCAATGCTGGTGAGCAGGATGTTGATGACGGAAGTCAATACCTAGCTCTTGAAAATGAGCTAGAAAATGTTTTGTAAGAAAATACAGGCGAGGTATATATACTAAATATATATTATATGTGAATATTGTATATATTTCTGTGTACAAAAGATATTTATTTATTATTTTTTTATATGTAGCCCTCTGGATCGGCGACCACAACGGCAAAGAGCAAAAATGTTCGAGGACCGAAGAAACCACTGGAGGGCTGGTACATAATATCGGAATTCAACATCGAGACAGGCGAACCACTTGGTCCACATAAAAGGAAATTCATGGAACATTATGGGTACCTTGTAAGGGACAGAATTCCGATCAGTATCTGTGAATGGAAGAAAAAGATCAACGAGCCTGATGTTAGTTTTGTCTCTGATGTTGACAAGAATTTGCTCTGGATTGATATCCTTGCCCATTTCACATTGCAAGCGGATGATTATGATGATATCAACGATGATGAATTGAAGGAGCTAGTTCGATCGTGGGCTATGAAGAAGATGGCCACACAATTTCAGACTTGGAAGAAACACCTATACAACACATACATCAAGAAGAACGAAACGCCGAATTTCAATCTCGCTATGGGCCCGATCTCAAACAGAGGCCCTATTGGAATGATTTCAGAGAGTACAAGACATCAATGAGAGGGTGAGGCACGGGTGAGAAGGAACCAGAGAATGCCCGAAAAGGTATACCACCATGACATGGGATCGGTGGCTACGACATCGCCATTCCGAGTGGCAAAATGGAAGCGGACATTATTGCCAAGGGGATCGAACTGAAATCAACCAAGTGGCCCCACGCTCGAAGAATTGGTTTTTCGGTCATGGGGAAGACTCGACCCACGCACCGGCTCTGGCAAAGGTGTATGGGCAAAACTCAAAACAAAGCAGACATGGCGATTGGCTTTTGCTATGGAAGCTAAAGAGATTGGTGTGTTCAAGCCCAATAGAGAGAAGGATGAGTCGACGTATGCCATCGGGATCATCTTGAACACATTGGCCAACCAGAGGCTTAGGAAGCAACACTCCATGGGTTCATGGTTTCCCTAATGATAGGGAAACCTACCAAAGCCACCAGAGAAGCAAGGAGGAGCAAGCGTGCAGACATGACAATGTTGGAGGAAATGGTGCTTGAAGCAAAGGAGCGAGAAAAAGCAATGGAAGCAAGAATGTAGGAAGAAATCGTAAAGCAAGTGCAGAGATAGCAATGAGTGCCCAGAGGCGCATCGAGCCGTGAATGAATGTTAATATTAGCCCCCGGTCAGGTTGAAAAGCAGCTTATGCTTCCACTGAGCTGCCAAAGCAAGATGACGCAGCGCTGCGCTTCCCTGTGGATGATGTCACTACTCCAATAACATCAATTGAGCTACATGTTCCAAGGGGGAATGACACAATCAAGGTCGTTGTCGGTGTTTTTACTCCTCCAGACCTTACCAAGACACCAAGAATCCATGGGGCACCAATACAACCTGGATATGCTAGGGTTGTAGTGGATAAAGTGAGCAAAGGTTATGAGGATCTAGCTCTTGACATTTCTAGAGGTGATGGAGGGAAGACTCTAGGAGAAGCAGAGAAGGCATATATACTATGGCGCAAGCGCTACATCATTATCCCTGGGGCGTCTGCTCCACCGCCAGCAGACATTAGGTGCGGACAAAAGTTAACAAAATAATTTTTTTGATAATTTTCTATGGGCATGACTAATAATAAACATTTACTTATATCTCATTATTTTTTGTACTCACAAAGCAGGGCCTCCGCCAACTAAAGTCTAGTTGTTGCTTCTCCCGACCATCATAGTGCTCAGGGCAATGATGATGCCTTCGAAGGCACTGCTGCATCCCCACCATCTCCAACTCCTCCGCCGCCTCCAAGGAAGTCCACAACTCCTCCGTCGAGGTCTCCAACGCCTCCGCCGCCTCCAAAGTCTGCACTGCCTCCAAGGAAGCCAGCCCCTAAGAGGTCCGCCCCGCAAACGAAGCCGTTGCCCTGCCCGCCGGCAATGAAGCAGAAAGCAAATACTCATCCAGTTATTCCCCAAAAACTATCTTATGAGAAAAGTGAACAGGAATTAAAGGATGCAGTACAAAAAGAAGTGACAGATTTCTTTGAAGGTGCAAAACAGGCACGACGAGCGAGGGAGAACCTGGAGCCATCATACTTCTTCCTACCTCCAGATCAGCTAAGAAAGAAGTTGGAACAAAAAAAACGGGATTCTCTTAAGAGCGCCGCGAAACAACCGATATCGGACTATGACCGCTCTCTCACCAAGTCATATGAGGCGGCGCAAAAAAAGAAGAGAGTAGGGAAAGGTGTTGCACAACTCGGACAACAATCGCAACAATCAATGCCCCCCTTATCGTTCATAACGAATATGGTTCAAACTTAAACTTAGTGGAGGAGGTAGGCGGCTATGAGTCGTTTCTTCAGTTTTATGAGGACACTGGTTTGAACCTTGCCAAAGTGCTCGCTGAAGGACCATCTGCTTCGGAAGTGGATCCTTACAAGAAATTTGTACCAGGCCAGAGTCTATACAACCCAGAGAAATTAGGTGAACTAGGTACGCAAATGTACCTGCTAAACTGATGGTACATGTCGGCGTCTGATGCGGGACAAATCTATCTTTCTGTCGGAATTAGAAACCACCATTACTTCCGTGGCAATGACATTATCTATGTCGAGCTTCCAGAATTACACCAACTATGCCACCTGGACTCTCTCGACAAAAATCTCATTAGCTGCTATTGTCTGTAAGTATGATTATTTTCTACTATATTCACAATTTCTTTATTATATATTCACAATATATATATTCACAATTTTCATGTATGTAGATATGAGATGACATAACTTAGAAAGAGAAAGGATAATGATGTTGGGTTTGTTGATCCATATGTCGTATACAAACACCCTAACCCCCCGAAGGATTATAAGCCTCAACCTAAGAGAAATCTCATGAATTTCTTAGTGAACCAACGCGACAAGAAGAAGATACTCTTCCCCTACAACTTCAAGTGAGTGTTATTATAAGTAATTAATGTCGATCATATATATGGGACATCAATATTTCCTTACTAGCTAGTTACCTCTCTCTCTCTCTCTCACACACACACACACATATATATATGTGTGTGTTTATATGTTTATGCAGCAATCGCTGGATATTGATGGTCATCGATATGGCCAATAGTAGATTGAAAATCTTAGACTCATTGAGAAAACCGCAAACGGAGTATCAAGACATGATAGATATTATACAAGGGTAATTAATTTAGTTTCTCTATAACAACATATATATATAATGGCGTCGATCTCTCAACAATTATTAAAGGTTAAATTATTTTTTTATTTTATTGAGAGCAGGGTTTAGAAAAGGTTCATGGAGGAACAAAAAATGAAACAATGCAAACCCCGGATTGCCGCACACCAGGACAAAATAGAAAAGAAAATAAAAGCGGCAGGAAGCACTAAGCTAGATTACAGAGGATTAACGAGCTACCAGCGCACAAGAAGCGCAGACAGACAGACGGCTGAAACCTGCTTCTACCCGAACATCTGCGTCCAGCTTATTTAACGGCAGCAACCAAGCCGGCATGGTTGCGACCTTGTCAAAGACGGGCTGTTCCTATCCTTCCATAATAGCCATGAGACGAGTAGGAACAACGAATCAAAAGCCTTCCTGAAATCCTTAGGGAAAAAAGAGAAAAGTACTATGTCACACAGCTCAGAGCAAGTCAACAGATAAATAGCAAGTCTATGCTATTATTTAGACATCCCAAGTATGAGCGAAAAATCAGGTATACAAACCCACACCATGTTTCGATTCAGTAGTCTCTTACAGGCTCTAATGCACACAATAGCTAAGCAGGAAATGCTTGACATACTAGAGCCAACGATACTGATCTTTTATTTATAGCACATAGCGTATGGCAGTACTGTTGGCACAAGTGTAACAAATGTACTTGTGCTGGAACAACTTGAACCCTTGTAGGTCATCATTATTATCCTTGCCTCTGAACTCAAGCTCCACGCCACTCAGGATAACAACCTCAACCTGAACTGTATCCCGCTCAGAAAACAAGCCTGTTTCCTCTGTGTTGCTCACACCTCTGAAGACCTTAGCAACGGCAAACTTGCCTGAGCCCAGGCTGAGGAGCTTAACATTTACTGCCATCCACCTTTGGGCGTGTGATAAGGCCAGGCAACCAGCGACATTGGTTTGTGATGATCCATGAGCATGTCAGAGAGGCCAGACGCTGCACAAAGGTAACCAGGGCGCCAGAGAGGCCAGACGCTGCACAAAAATGAACTACTCACCAACTTTCTCTGCTTTTATCCTTTGCTTCCTTCTCATATTTCTGGATGGTCCTATCATCAACTTGACCACTCAAAAACAATAGCTGCGGCTCGCAAGAAGGGTTCTGGTTTTTTGTTCCGTGATCGTTCTCGATTTTGGTTCTTGGTCTCTGTAAGATATGGTTTTGTCAAGTAACTCGTAAATGGTTTTGTCAAGTAACAAGGGATAGTGATAGGTTTTGCACAAGAGAAAGGACAAGTTCGATCGTACTTGGTAGCAGTGACAGGTGCAGAGGTGCTGGTTACTTATGCCCTGACATCCCCCCAACTTCTTTTTGGGTACTCTCAGTTGCTGCTCATCGCATCCCATTTCGTTGGCTCTTTGCTCATTCTGTGTTGTTCTTGCAATCAGTGCGGACGCGGACCTCCTACTGCCCGGCAAGAGCAGGTTATGTCCCACAGTCGCCTGCAGTCCTGCACTGGAGGGGGGAGGATTTGGCCATCTGAGTTGACCTCCCGTGCGTGGCCAGACTTGACCTCACACAACGCAATCAGTTCACCAACTAACGTCGCACTTGGGCCGTAATCGCGTCATTCAGCCACCGGCCATATATTTTGATTTTTGAAGTATACTGGTTTAACCAGTCTGGTTAGGATATTTTCCTCAAGTTTGCGCAAACCGTGGTGGTATCCCAGTCTACTTTGCTGACCGAAAACACGCGTACCGGTGTGGCGGACAGGCTGTGCTCGTTTAGGCTTACACTTTAGACGCCAATCTTTACAGGCAGCCAGCAAATGGCATCCCTGTCATAAATCATTTTTACATAAACAATGGAGCAAACTCGAAGACAAAGCTCATTTATCCTGAACACACATACGAATGTGGCAATTCCTGCCAACTCCGGGAGAAATATGTGCAGGGTACATTAGCAACTTATGGTTTACATTCGGCCGAAACGAGCTAGTCTTACAATACATACATGCATACAGGGGTATGCAAGGCCCCATGCAACACCTACGGGTATCCTGCCCTATATGGTATACACGATAAACATTACCACTGGAGTCTGAGGGAAAAAGGAAACCGGCTCTATGGTATGGGAAGGTAACAGGTAATTCACCAACACCTCACGGCACACGCCACATCTTTCTTAAAAAATGGGTATAGACATTCGGAAGGATAGGTTCGATCGGTTATCTATGTCCACTCACTGGAATGATCAGGCAATCCACACGATCCACTCTCTAACTTGGATTGTCTCGGCTCAACAAACCAGCCGCACCAGATTTCGGTGACTGCTCATCATCCCGATCAGGTTGGATGTTCAGGTCAATATGGTTCTTGACCGGAGAGGATGTCACCTTGTGATCCACGGCCATGTCTTCGGGTCCATCGGCAATTCCATCCGCTTTCCGAGGGGAGCTGGTTGCACTGGCACTGGCTACTGGCGGGACGGACACAGCTTGTGTGACCTTCTCACTGGATTGGCCTGTCTCTTTCTTGCGAGGCGTATCTGTTGTCGCCTTCTTCTCGCGTCGAAGCATGAGCGTTCTGAAGCGGCAGCGAACCGTCATACAAACGTTACAGGTGCATGTCTGCTTGTGCTTTGGACCCTTCCTGCTTGGTGGTTGGATGCAGACGATGCATGAACAGCTGGGGCGATGACGACGATGTTTTGTTGTTGGCTGCGAAGGAAGAGCTTCACCTTCGCCAAGAATTGCAAGGTTTGCAAGTGTGTCGTCTTCGGGTCCATCGGCAATTCCATCTGCTTTCCGAGGGGAGCTGGTTGCACTGGCACTGGCTACTGGCGGGACGGACACAGCTTGTGTGACCTTCTCACTAGATTGGCCTGTCTCTTTCTTGCGAGGCGTATCTGTTGTTGCCTTCTTCTCGCGTCGAAGCATGAGCGTCCTGAAGCAGCGGCGAACCGTCATACAAACGTTACAGGTGCATGTCTGCTTGTGCTTTGGACCCTTCCTGCTTGGTGGTTGGATGTAGACGATGCATGAACAGCCGGGACGATGACGACGATGTTTTGTTGTTGGCTGCGAAGGAAGAGCTTCACCTTCGCCAAGAATTGCAAGGTTTGCAAGTGTGTCGTCTTCGGGTCCATCGGCAATTCCATCTGCTTTCCGAGGGGAGCTGGTTGCACTGGCACTGGCTACTGGCGGGACGGAAACAGCTTGTGTGACCTTCTCACTGGATTGGCCTGTCTCTTTCTTGCGAGGCATATCTATTGTCGCCTTCTTCTCGCGTCGAAGCATGAGCGTCCTGAAGCGGCGGCGAACCGTCATACAAACGTTACAGGTGCATGTCTGCTTGTGCTTTGGACCCTTCCCGCTTGGTGGTTGGATGCAGACGATGCATGAACAGCCGGGACGATGACGACGATGTTTTGTTGTTGGCTGCGAAGGAAGAGCTTCACCTTCGCCAAGAATTGCAAGGTTTGCATGTGTGTCCAGCCCATCTGAAGCATCAATGCACCACAACCATTGTGATTCTTAAATATGCCAGTCAAGAACAATAAGCAGACAATAGAAAAATAAGATTGGCGCAAGGTAGAAGAAGCTAAAAGCGAAGAATTGTAAGCAGATATATCAACTACTGATACTCAGAGAAGCGAATCAGTGTAAAAAAATCTCAGCCAACTTGTTCGGAACCTGGGAGGCTGGGACACACAATCTGGCACTCTTTCCAGTTTTCATAGAGCTAGAGCTCAAACAGGGCCATAATGATCAGAAAGTGAAGCAAAAGCTTCCATCTTGAAGCATTCAAGGATGAAGGAAGAGGGAAACAAGGGAATATGTCATGGCAGAGGGAAAGTACATGCTGGAATTAGAAACATGAGCCATAAAGCAGACTGTTGAGTTATCACTGATGACTGTAGTTCAGCTGCTGTAAATCAATTACACTAACCTTTTACTGTAGAGCCCTTTATTAACACTTTAGTTCAAACTTTTCAGCAGTAGATGACGTACAAGGATACAAAATACACTAGGCGTTCTCAGGGGGTGACTCCGCCTAGCGCTTAGGAGAAAGGATACCAGACTACTGGAAATTTACTAAATCATGATGACCTCTTGACATTTAATTAATGGCGAGCCCTGCTGGCAGTGTGCACTATGAAAATTGCACGTTCCCATTAAACATCAGAAGATTTATTTAGGGCTTAAAGGAATAGGCAAGAAAAAAAGAAAACTAGCATAAAACTCCAATAAGAAATTCAAATGTGGAACTCCAGTAAATCAACTGATCAAGAATAAAAAAGTATGTCATATATTGAACAACAAAACACACATAGATAGAAAACAGATTTTTAAAATTGTAAACTTAAGTCAAAACAATCAATGAACTAATTTTTCCAAGTAAACATAGAATAGATTCAATGTCATCTTGTTATTTTGATGGATTCAGATTAGGTTGATATGTTACAATCTTTTGGCCTGTAACTAATGAGAGTTTGCAAGGAAAATATTTTAAGATTCCAGATGAAAATAGAGATCTTTGTCTTTCAATCTCCACTGAAGCATTAAATATGATAAAATGGCCCCATCTAAGTTTCAAAGTATCAAGATATTTACATCCAATCATGAACCACCAAAGAACAGCTAAATTCTCCCACAAACCAAATCTTTCCACCATCTAATAGTTAACCACATTACACAACCATACATCAGACACAGTCAACAATTACACAGGAACACATCAATCAATTAAGTATTCTATAAGCACCAATCTAGCTAACAATAAAATAATGTTAAAGAAAGAAGGCAGTGAGGAAACTGAACTTACCAACATGGCCAATGAAAATGACATTCAAGTGTCTTTTTGTTTCATCTACATCGTCTTCAACCACATGAGCATCTTCTTGAGTAGCAACTGCACCGAAAGAAAAGTAGGGTTGTATAAGAGTCTGTATAACAATAAGAAAAAACTACAGGCCCAAGCAGTATCGACTATTTTGGAATTGTAATAATGAAATGCACATCAGATAAATAAACATGACTCAGTTTCTGTGCAGCAACATGAAGCAATAGTTCAAACCATCATTCAGATGAAAATACCCAAACATCAAAATACAACAAAACCTGGGCCTGGATCAACAGCCTCTCTAGGAAATTTCCTTGAAGCTCAATGGACGAAGTACATTAATAATCAAAATTGAAAATCAGCTTGTCAATTAAAAGTTATGTTATTTCCATGGAGAAAATTAAGGTTGTAATTTACCAAATTTGCATGAAATGGTGGGCAAGGTACAAAATTAGCAAAGGGAAATGATAGGACTAAAAAACATAAACAAGGATGTATTTAATACACACCATTTGTTTTAAGCTCCAAGGATTCAAGAGATGATTGAATTTCCTTGACACCTGAAAGTACATGTCCAGGTTAGCACGTAGCAACAATTTCATTATGCATGTCACTTTTCATCAAAAAAGGAGAACTATAAAGGCAGATCCAAATAGTTGGCCTCATTAAGTGAAAAGGCATTTCAGTCATTTCTTTATAACAATGATCCATGACCAGAGGGATGACATTATAATTTCTTGTTATTAGACTTGAAAAACTAAATAGAATTGAACTTTCCAAAGTTAGTCAATGAGAAAAGAAGTTAACGCAGGCCATAAACAGCTTGGCATCTTGCAAGCCCAGGCCAGAGCAATAAGACATTCAACATAGTCGGTTGGTCACACTGTCGGATTCATTAGGTTAAAGAATCAACATTAGCCCAAGATTGGAGATCTTATTTGTATATATCTATTGTGAGCCATTTCTTCAGAAAGGAGAAAATGTCTCATGGGCGAAGGCAAAGAAGCAATTAAAAAAAACTTAAGAATATGTTGATCTGCCAGCGCTAGATTTTATAAATGGAACGTGGCCACCTATTAGGGTTTCTAAAGGGATCTGAAAATTTCTATGCAAACCAACAAAAAAAAAGCAGAGAACTACCCTGTGGGAGCGCTACAAAATGTTGAGAAACGGAATGTCAACTCTCTTCTTGTTTTGTGCAAGGAAACATAGAATCAGTGCATAAGTCTTATCCATGGTTCTAAAAATCCTAATTAAACTTATGTTTACTCTCGAATAAACCTGAAACGGAACCCTAGCGTCTCGTTGACGGCCTGGGCGTCCAATAAAACTCTGGTCGCGTCTAGGCGGTGTGCATAGGCGTGGGGCAGCTTAAGCGGCGCAGAAACGCGAAAAAGCGGCGGCCTGGCTGGTTTGGTGGGCTATGTGTGACCGCGCCGGCTGGTGTTTGGGTCACAGCAGATCAGCTTCAGCCGGCCTACGAGGCACAGAAACCATCAGCCCAAGCCAGGGCGGCCAGGCCCCCAGCGGATGCGGCAGCCAGGCCGGTCCCCAGCCCCCGCGCCGGCCAGGGCGGCTTGGGCGGCCGGACCCCCAGCGGCTGGGGCGGGCTGTGCGGGCGCGCTGGAGGGAGAGGACGCCGGCCACAGTTGACGCGAGAGTCTAACCCTAGGTGCCATGCCCATGAAAGAAGGAGGAGGTGGAGGAGGTCGAGGGGGGCCGGATTTACCGGTTCCGGCCATCACCGGAGCTGGAGCCTCGCCGGCGCGACGGGAAGAGGCGGCGGCGCGAGCAGGAAGGGGACACGGGCGGCGCGTGCAGGAAGGAAGACGCGCGTCGTAATTTTCCGTCGCAATTGGAAAGGAAGGGTTCCAACTAAGGGCTCGTTCGTTTTGACCGGAACGGCACGGATCGTGGCCTGATCCGCCCGGATCGAATAGGCCCGGTTCGAAGGCAGGCCGGATCCAGAACGGCCGTTCGGTTAGATACGGTTTGGAATGCAAATCGGTTAATTTGGGCCTTTTTCTCCTCTCTTTGGCCCGGAACGGAGACGGACCCTCCTACGTCCGGAACCTATCCTGGCGACGGCGCGGCACGCGACTCCCGACTTGCGACGGAGCAGCACGAGGCGACGGCGCGGGGCATCGCGAGGGGACACGACGGCGCGGCTCGAGGCGACGGCGACCGCTTCCCATCGAACATCCGCATTCTCCGCCGCCTTCTCGCCGGTAACGCATCGCCCTCGTCTCCCTTGCCCCATTCTCTCCCTGGCGCTAGGGTTCTTGCTCGCCTACGCTCCATCCGTCGCTAGGTCTGGGCTGGCGACGATGAGGTCCGTGGACCAGTTGCCGCATGCCCGTGCGCACATCTATCTCCCCGCCCTGCCTTTGCATCCGTCCCCTGATTCCTTCGTACTATATCCCCAAAGCAAGCAACTCTCGAGTACAAAGCAACCACCACGAAATCATACGCCAGCGACGAGCAAACCAAGGGAGGGAGGGAGGGAGGGAGGGAGGGAGAGAGGCGGATGGGGCGGGTGCAGCCACGGGTCGGCGCAGCGGCGGAAAGCATGAGCGGCGCGAGGCGAGGCGGACCGCCTTGAGTCGCAGGACGCCCACGTCAAGACCGCCGGGGCCGCGCAGAGGAGGTAAACCGTCTCAAAGTCCCAACCATCCTCCCGGGCCGCCGGCCGGCATCTGACCGCAGATTGGTGGTCACATTTTCTGTTGTAGCCCTCTTGTACTTGTTGGTGAATGCTAGTTTACCGCTGGGTGGTCATGTGCCTGGTTAGCAGTCATTGCGCGCTCTAATGCTGCAGCCACCGTCTCTAGAGACGCTGGATTTCTGGAACCTTAGCCCTTAGGTTGTAGTGGATCTGTGGTGCTTTCATCAATATTTGCAGCCTGATCTTGCATTTTGTTTTTCTTTCCTTTTTCTCCCAGAACGGTACACAGTTGTCAGTTGTGTTACTGTGTATGATCAAGGAATTGAGGATTGAATTCTGCTTTACTTTTCTTTGGTTAAAAAACTATGAGTAATTGCCAATGTACATTTATAAGTTAAGTTAGCCTTTTTGTTGATTGTCATTTGTTCCCCACGCCTTCTTTTGTTAAACTTAGGGTTTGTCAGCCTTAGGATTTGTCTACTCCATTCCCAATTTTAGTTACGGTTAACTTACACTGGATCTACGCTCGACATGTACTAGAGCTACGGTCATTATTTTGACATATAATTTCTAGGTAGAATTGGTGTAACTAAAATTCAGGTATAATTTAGAATTGGTGTAACTAAAATCCTGATGTGGAGAAGGAATACTTCACTTGATTCTTGCAACACTTTTTATCTGGATGCGATACTCCTTTAAAGCACCAAAAAAAATTCTTATAACATACTCGCAATCACAAGGTTCGGGTGTAAGAGATAAGTTTTTCACCAGACCATGACATGGCAAAACTATAGAGCATTATTATACTTTCTGCTTTCCAGATTTAAATATTTGATTTATGTTCAACTAAAAATGACAAGATATTGCTTACAACTATGCCTTTTGAATTCAAATGTTTACAAACCGAGTAAATAACTAAGAAAGCTTGCCTTCTCATCAGTACAAAAGTTCGAAATATGTTCTTCAGTGCAACAAATTGTTCAAGTAATTTTCCTACTAAACTTCCATTAATTGTTTGTCATGTTTTACTTTGGATTTGATATAGTACTACAACATTGAATTACACGCCAGATTGAGAGACGATGATAGATCAATCATGGGGCGTTCCTCGCGTTGGTTATTGGGCACGAATATACTGTAGTTCCCTTCCAAAGAGGGGTTGACTTGGCTCTGGGTTGATCCGCAGGACGCGCTCGGGTTGAGGGTTTATCGGATTGGGGGATTTGATTGGCCCCACATCCCCGACTCCAAGACGTTGGATTGAGTGGCCCCTCGATCGAATCAGATTCTGATGGCCTCCTTCCTGAATCGAATTGAATCGAGCTCGGCTGTTGTAAATTTTATTGCAAATTTTAACTTTAAACATAAGCCTCATCTCTTGCTGCTACTACGTCATTTGCTCTAAAGCAACCCTGGGCTGCAGTTTCTTGGATGGGTAATGACTGTTAATCACGTTTCTAAACATGAGTACTAGTAGTGAAATACCTAGTTAGTGACGATCGAGATATATTTCTGGTCTTCTGGTGTCTGTTTTTGTGCTCTTGTCAATTGTAGCATTTACGCATTCTCTATGATTGTTGCTTCTGGACTGATGTTTCTGGACTGCTGTAGGGAGGTGCTAGCTTGCTCCTGATGTTGGACTGCTATCTTGCTGTAGCATTAGCTATTAATAGAAAAAAGAGCATGCTGCACTCTTATGGAAAACTATTGGAAAACCTTGGGAAGGTAGGGTAGCCAGCCAATGCAAGTAGATATGGAGCTACACCTCTGCTCCTTTTGAGTGAATTCACATTGCAAGCTTATTTTGATTTGCTCTTTTTTGCGAACACGCGCTAGGGAAAGGAATGTCCCTTTGTTTCAGTCTGTAGTGAAGACTGAAGTTGACATACCTAGCCTATTAGCTCACTTTGTTACTTGTATTATTATCTAGATGATGTCTTGATTTGCCAAATAGTTTCTTATTACTTGTAGATCTCTCCAGCACCATTTAGAGTTGGGGAAGGTGAACCTCCGCTTTCTTAGGATCCGGTACCAACTCCAAAAGATACTCCAAAAGCTTCTATATAAGTTTATATATGCTTCTATAAGACGACTATAATCTTTATTACAGCTTCTATATGACATGATCAATAATATAACTTCTATATGACATGGTTAATAATATTTAACTTCTATATGACTATAAAATTGTATGCTTCAGTCCTACAATGCGTCTCTCACTACGAGATCGTATTAGAAAGAGGAGGGAGGAAGAAGACGATGACATGATGCTATTTATTTTCCCCGCCTTATATCTTATGAGTTCTGCTAGAGGAGGGGAAAAGAAGAAACGTCATACTTCGGAAGAAACAAGCGAGGTTAAAGTTCATACACTCCTCGAGGGACATGTCAAGAACTGTCAAGTTGCATTTAGGATGGAACCACACATCTTTAGAGAATTGGCAAATTATCTTAGAAGCAAAAGGCTTGTTGATACTAGGATAACTGTGGAGGAGAAGTTGGGTTTCTTCCTATACATGTTAAGTCACAATGCCTCGTATGAGGATCTCCAAGTGTTCTTTGGGCACAGCAATGACACCTTCCATCATCACATCAACCACTTCTTCAAGGTGGTCATTCCCGCACTCTCTCGCCGTTACCTTCAAGCTCCTGATCCTAATCAAGTGCATAAAAAATCCAAGACAATCCTAGATTCTATCCATTTTTCAAGAATTGTCTAGGTGCCATTGATGGAACTCATATTCCTATTTCCATAGCCTCTGAGAAAGCTTCTCCTTTTAGAAATAGGAAGGGCACACTAAGCATTAATGTGATGGTGGCATGTGATTTCGATCTCAACTTCACTTTCATTTCTAGTGGATGGGAGGGATCGGCTACAAATTCTAGAGTGCTACGGTCAGCTATGAGCAAGGGCTTCCAAGTACCTCCAGGCAAATTCTATCTGGTTGATGGAGGGTATGCAAATACTCCATCTTTTCTTGCTCCATATTGAGGAGTTCGATACCATTTGAAAGAATTTGGGGCTGGACATCGAAGGCCGCAGAACCCAAAGGAGCTCTTTAACCACCGCCACGCACTATCGAGGAACCATGTGGAAAGGGCTTTGGGGGTGCTTAAGAAGCGCTTCCCCATTCGAAAGTTGCCACATTCCACATGTTGGAAAATCAAGTGAAGATACCTATAGTCGCTTCCATCTTCCATAATCTGATCCGATTACTTCATGGAGATGAGAAATGGTTAGATCATCGACCGGATAATATCTCTCCAAAAACTTTGTTGCTTGTACCAAGTGGTGATCAAATGAATGACCAAAATGTGGGTTCAAGACAAGGCAACGCTTTAAGAGACACCATCGCCCAAGAAATGTGGGTTCGATTACAAAGAACATTTAAATTAGTCTTTGAATAGGCTATAATAAGTTAATAAGCTTGTAATAAGCATGGATTATAATTAAGCAGAGACTTCTTTTTAGTCTTTAAATTAGTCTTTGAATAGATTGTAATAAGCTTTTGTCATGAATAAGCTTGTAATAAACTTGGCTTGTAATAATTGAATAAGCTTGTAATAAGTGAATAGGCTTGTGTCATATACTCATATTTGACAAATGATGGTTGGAAAAAGGCTCCCCGAAGCTCAATATGATTGCAAGGCGTCACCAAAGTTGCACCGGTTCTTGAGTACAACAAGTGGTATTAAAAAAGAGGGCTTCTCCTAAATGCGATGAAGGCAAAGAAGACTGGAGGTTCTCCGAGAGGTATGGTGTTTAATTCTCTGCTATTATTGCTTTGTTATTTCTCTGCTATTATTGTTTGTTATTTCTTTGCAAATTGTTTGCTACTAAAAAGAACTTTCTTGAAGTAATTCTCTTCTATACAATTTATTCCACCATGTGCTACTATAGTAGTTTTAGTAAACCTATAACCTTTAAACCGGTATTTCTTTCTTTGTTATTTGTATTTGCTTTGATTTTTGGTAACCTAATGTCCGACCATGGTTTACGTAGTAGTAAAAGCAAGAGAGCGGATGAATCCGCCCTTGAGAAGTCCCCGTAGACATTCTCCATTAGTATAAAGATAG